AGGAAATATATGGGAAAACATGATCGCATCGTGTGGCAGCAGGTAAGAACCTCGCACATATCACAAGCTTAGAAATAACTTTACAAGTTTCTGAGAGCAACGTTTCTTTGACGAGCTCGGAAACAGCTTCTGAAAGGGTGCATTGTGAAGCTCTGGTATTAAGCTCCTGAGCACAAGATTTAAGTGAGTGCTTATAACAGCGAGGGGCCAAAAGGTCGGATAGATAAATAGGCGCCAAGCCCTTGAGTGCTTTATAAATTAATAGACAAATCTTAAAAGTAATACGTTGAGATACAGGTAACCAGTACAGCGATTTCATTATAGGAGTTGTGAGCAAGAGTGATCACACGCGCAACAGTGTTCAATACTTATTGCAGAATATTGATCGGATATTTAGGTTAAGTCAAACAAAAGAGCATTACAATATAGTCAATCTTAGACGTAACAAAGGAGTCAACTAAGGTTTCAGCAGAACCTTGATCTAAGAATTTTCTAATGTTCCCTATATTTCGAAGATGAGCTAAGATGGTCTTTGGAGGTTTTACGTATCATACTAATATGTTTATCCATTGCTATATCCTGGTCAAATATCACTCCCAAATTTCTTACAACAGGAATGGTGTTTAATGGTTTCAACTCCTTCTTGAATATAAGTGACCATTGGCCGTGATCGATACTTGGAGCTTATAACCAGTAGCTCAGTTTTATTCTCGTTAAGCTTTAGCTTATGATTAGTCATCCATCTGTCGATATCTGCAACACAGTGTTCAACCCTTGACCTGGACAGGGCTGCATCAACATCACAGTTGGTGACATTTAATTGTGTGTTGTCAGCATAAAAGTGGTACTGTAGTATAGGACTTAATGATGTCAGCAGCAGGCGCGGTATATAATACATAAAGTAGGAGGACCACAACCAACCCTTGAGGAATCACACATGTTAAGGAACGCGTAGTGGACGTACTTCCTTCGACTTGGACATAGCACTTACGAGAGTTTAGATAGGACTCAAAACAAGCGAGGACCGTACCACTGACACCGACCAGATCGTCACAAGACTTCATAAATTTAATAACAAATTTGTTACACAATGCAATCTTATATTCTTATGGTCCGCTTTTCAGAGTGCCAAAATTATCAAAATATAAACGAATCCGATGGCAACGTGAAGTACAGCCGTACTTACGGGCTCAAATGTGACGACAATAATTATTGGCTCTGGCTGGTTCAGATTCGAAGGAGTAGCAAGGGACAAAAATGGCAACTTCATGTACGCCTTACTGGAGATGTAATGCGGATGCAACAGGCTGCATGACTAGTGGCCACCTCACAGTAGCGGAGGGCGTGGTAACCCGAACAGTCTGTTTCCGATGGGACTATTGCTGATATTGGAGCACAGAGATAAAGATTCGAAAAGGCGGAAGCTACTACATCTACTTCCTTGATGGCATGGATGATCCGAAGGGTTGTTCGCTGCGCTACTGTGGCCCGACTGATCAAAACCAAGAGCCCACGTAACACTGAAAGAGTGCTTTTACATAATTTTAAAAAAAGTGTAATACGTTAAATTGAGCTAAAGGACGCGTTTGTGACTCATTTGTTTGTATGAGGAAAAAATAAATGAAAGAAACAGATCGATCACTGATTGAATCGTTGTACTATAGTAGACCTTTTCAGCATTCTTTTCCAGTGAGAAGGGAACGAGTTTGAGGCCTGGGTGAACAATTTCAAACAAACTATTTGTCAACCCAAGGCTCAAGTTGGTGCCTTGGTTCACAGAAATGCCAGAACGGTCAACAAGATTGTGACACAACCCGAATTATACTGTCATGGAGAACAATTTCAAGACTGACCAACAGGTATCCATCTAGAATGACCCCTTAACCAATTAAGCTTAGCCTGCGTCTCAGACCCGGTTAGTAACGTCTGCGAAGCAGTGCCAAGCTCCTTGCTCTGGGTCCCTAGACTCAAACGAATTACCGCAAGTCTGTTTGGATTTTCCCTTCAATCTGATTCGCAAATCGGCAATGGCTTTTTTAACAGGCCGATCATGACGCGTTCTCGAAAACCCCGGTACAGAGCTGGGGCACAGAACAAGGATTTCGGCGCTGGCTTGCAGACGGACTTAACCGCTAGTAGACGTTTGAAACGCGCCATGTTCAAGTCAGACGGTAAAAACCCAGCTTTTAGCCAAACTTTGGGGATGGTGGGATTCACATCAAACCTAAACAAAAATCCTTTCCGGTCGGAGATTCGAAAAAAGGAATTTCAGCACATGACAGGATAACAGAAGCGAAGGTCTAGTTTGGAGAATAACCTGAAGAAAAATGAGTGCCAAGCTAAACCTTCAATAAAGGTAAAGAGAGTGTGTCTGATCAAAAGGTTTTACCGAAAACCGAAAGCATTTAATATGACGCGTAGAGAAAAGTGCGTGGATTCTGGATTCGACGTTGTGGATTCTGGATTCCAGGTACTGGATTCCGGATTTGTTGTCAGTGGAACTTGAATTCCAGATTCCAACTGGTAGGTGGATTCTGGATTCCTTGAGCTGAATTCCGGATTCCAAAGCCCAGGATTCCGGATTCCACAGGTAAAAATTTTACCGGATCCGGAATCCGGATTTCCTTACAGTGGAGCGAGCTTAGGATACTGAAAGTGAAACTAAAATGCCCTTGAAGATTCTTTCACCGAGACGCAGTTAATTTGTTCAATTCATAAATATATCGAACCAGATAGACCATTCGAAGGCAGGACGACGGACTTACAATTTTTGCAGAATCCAAGAATGGGATCAGGAGAAAGCAAGGCACACTCAAAACGAAACACTACAACGTCCTCAAATCCGTAGAGCCACAACAAGCAGATTCACACCACAATGACGCAAAAGCGACTTAACGCCGTGCTTTGCCTCTGGGACCGAACGGCATTTACCAAGAGACAGTCTTTTCCTAATCGACGACGGTCTCTTGATAGGAATTATAGAACGTTGGCTGAGGTGGCCGGGGGGTACTCAATAACGTTTTATACGGCGAGTCTCCGCCCCGAGGTCCAACCCCTTACCCTTTTATATACCATTTTTGACAGGAAAGGTACCCCTTTAATATACCATCTATTGATAAATGGTACCCTTTTCACACTCCCAGTTTAGAGCGTTGCGTCCCTTCTAACCATTGCAAATGCACTGTATCTACTAGCTTTCAGATATAAACAAATCACTATGAACCAGAATTTTTTCTCATTTTCACAGCCATGACATATATCGGCTAGCCCTGCAGTTAAGGATCTTCTTACCGACCGAAATGACAGATTTCCTTTCCCTTTCTGTATATCTCACGCCCGAAAAAGGTACCACCTTCCCTAGGCCATTTTAGGGAGTCCAACCCCCGGGCTTGGAAGATCGTGCTTGAAATGGCTCATTGGCATTTTCTTGTTCGACTTTGTAGTGATTAATGTTTAGCTTTTTACCAAATGAGGCTTTCTACGGTCTACCTCTCATTTCTTTTCACCATATTCAAGGTCGAATACGCAGAAAGCATAGAAATTTTTTAATCTTTTTAAAAAGGCTTTACTGACCTTTACCTTAAAGCTAAGAAAACTCGAACGCATTAACTTTCCATGATGACCACTGCAGAAAAGTAGAAAAGGTATTAAAACATTAAAGATCACTTTCTTCTTTTTTTCTCTGGCATTTTATTGTACCCCGCACATAAAAATAAGGAAACGAGAACGTTTGATTCACTATTAGAAATAATTAAGCAGCAGAACCCATTCAATTATAGAAGGCAGTGGGGGACCCAGGAGGGGGGTCCGGGGGTCCGGAACCCCCTATCATACCTGACGCTTGTTTGTGACTAAAATTCTGACATCGCGGACAGGATCGTATATCACTTTTTATAATAACTGGCCGATCTTTTTAATGACACGCGCGTTGCATTTTGCCACTAAACTAAATTCCAGGGATATTAAAAATTGTAATTATTTTTGGGTACCCTACTATGATAACCTCTGCTCGCATAGCAGTCGGTATTTCCCGCGCCAATGACGGCAACCGGCGTTCACAGATTAAGAACATGTAGTTGTCTCTGTCACTGAAGTAATTTGCCACAAAATTCCCTGGATCCGCCCCTCAAATGTAAAATCCTTCGCAAGTAGCTAGCACTAGAGGGGGATTCGCGAGACCTCGTCTACCAGAAGTTTCTTTAACCCTTCATGCCCCGGTATCCACATACAAATTCTCCACACCGATATCCGTACATTTCCCTAGAGGATCAGTTGAGAGAATTCGATATGACAAAATGAAAGCATTTCCCATTAGTGATCGATTTATTTATTCTCATATCGTTTTCTGTTGACGGTGTACTGATATTGTTGAGAGAAAATTCATGTTGATCACCCTTGTGACGTAAAGGACTAAGCTGGTTAATTTGATGAACATCATGGAGTTTACCAAATTTCTCCGCTTTTATTAGAATCAAATTTATTGCCTTGTTGATCTGAGACTGCTGAAACGCTGCTGGTTCGAAACTGAAAGCAATTAATTTGAAGGGCGGGAAAAAACCCAGTGCTCACTTAGGCTATCAGCGCGATCAAAATCAAAAGTGAAAATAAAGTCCTCCGTGCTATAATGAACAAGACTCGAACAACAGATTTTTTTCTTGAATAAATTCAGCAACAACGAAAAAAGAGAGTAAATCGGAGCGAATATTGGAGAAAAAGAAAAGAAAAATGAGTTTCAAATTGAACCGGCAAACAAGCTGTCGTTCAGGTAAAGGAAAGCCGAAACTGTTTCTTTGGCGAGTAGGGAAAAACCCCTGTGTCTGTTTAGACTTCAACAGGGCTATAGTAATAGTTGAAAGCTATAGAATTTAAATCAAACGAGCTTTATGAACATTATTTGTTTCAGTTTTAAAGATGTCGATGAGTGCGTGGAAGGATCACATGACTGCTTTCCAAACTTCGCCACCTGCGTAAACATTCCTGGTTCATATAACTGTGTCTGTAGCCACAGCTACACGGAAGACAACACCTGTCTGCCAGAAGGTACTGAGCACTAGTTGTTCTGAGCTAAATTGTGCCCTAGCTACCAGTTGTAAAGATATATTCTGTGGAATTTGTATACGCAAAAGCGATTCGAATTTAATAATCGATTGACATAGCATTTGTTGATTTTGCGATAATTCGAGATGAATGTATATGGTACATTCTCATGCAATACTGCCAGCTCCGTCACCATATTTTTCATTTAAAGCAGTTTCCAAACCACTCTATGCAATAATATTCCAGTCCTTCCAATCCGCCTCTTTCTCCATTGGCATCTCCTACCCCATTATTGAGTTTGATATTTGGTGCCACGCAATTTTCAGCAAGCATTAATAGTTAAGATGCAAATGCAACGCACGCTACCTTTCTCGTCTTGCTATCCGATGCTTAAGTCTTGTTTGCTCATCCGGACACTTTTACTGTATCCGTTATGAGGTATACTTGACGCTCACCGCTAATATTTGGCCTCCAGTCTTCTCTACAAAATTAGTCGTTCTTCCAAATTTCTTGTATCCTCTGGCCCCTCCTAATGTTGATAATCGCTAAATATTGTCAAGCAGATAAAAGTAAAGTTTTGTCGCAAAATTTTGTTGCGGTGTTACAAAACGTGCCATGGTCGAAGATTTGACCCCATAAGGAGGAATCCAGCTAGCGGTCAGGGTGGTACTTAAACTCGGGGGCACCGGATTACAAGTCCAGCTCAGCTCGACCCCGCGCTATAACCTCGAGGCCAAGCTGCCTCCTGCCTGGTTTGCGATTAGTCCCTAAACAACACTTTCCACATGGATGACAATTTTCAATGGTTCTGGTAAATGAACCAGTTGCTCGCATCATGCAGTGTCTGTGAAATGCTTTGAGGGTTCATCCACTAGTCATTATCTGTACTTAATTCAATTTGTGAATGATTCTTAATTACTTTCCCTGTCTTTCTCTCTCCTTCTTAGAATGTGTAAATTATCGACGTATTACCAATGCTGACAGAAAAGTCACGTACGGAAAAGTTTCAGTACAATGTGACAAAACAATAGACGCCGCATGGTACAGGTTCGAAGGCGCGGCAGGGACAAGGATGCCGACTTCATGTCCGCCTTTATATAAGTGTAACACCAACGCTCCCGGCTGGCTGAAGGGCGGACATCCAAGCGTGGCAGATGGTCAGGTTTCAAGGAAAGCGTGTTTTCATTGGTCAAACTGTTGCTCTCTCTCCACCAACATTAAAGTAAGGAACTGTGGTTCCTATTATGTCTACTAGCTCAAGAGTACTGGAAGTTGCTGGTATCGCTACTGTAGTACCGACTAAAAGATCAATGTAGTCAGAGTATTGAGTAGGTTAACTCTACTTAATATATGACACCCTTCTGTTAGTAACCTCAGTTATTGTGTATCTATTTCTTTTATCCTTCTTTATTTTAACTAAGAATAGACACTAGGGGATTGTTAGCTTAAGCTTAATTTACCTTAATATGGCATGGTGTAGCTGCCGTATAACGAGACGGAAGACAATTCAAGATTTAAAAAAAAGCAATGAAAAAATGTAAAGAAAAACTGTTTTCACTTTGTCCAGTTAAACGTAATATGGCCTTAGACTCTTTCCTTGTAAAATTATGTTTATGTGATTTCCATGTTAAATGTTCATCCAGAATTACACCAAGAAAAGTAGCTTCCTAAACACGATCAATCACAAATAATTACTAATATTAAAAGCTTGATCAATTGTTTGCCTCTTTTGTCTTGGTCTGAATATGATAAAATTTGATTTCTTAACATTGATAGATAGCTTATTTGTATAAAACCAACATGTTAATATCTTTTTCAATTCTGAATTTACAACTTCCATAAGATAGGAAGCGAATAGAAGATATTAGTGTCATCAGCAAAAGTGCTATCAGCTTTAACTCCTTTGACACATTCCATGCACTCTAGATCATTAGAACAGGGGACCTAAGATAGAACCCTGAGGGAATCCGCAAGTAACGATTAAAAGTTATAACCATTAGATTGCACACTTAAAAAAATTGTTTTCGACAAGAAAGATAACTTTTAAACCATTGTAAAACAACACTACGTATTCCATAACGTTCTAACTTGTTCAGCAAAATTTCACGATTTACTATATCAAAGGCCTTAGATAAGAAGGCGACTTTAGGCCTATTCATTGACCCAGCATCAAGTGCATTTGAGATCTTGTCATACAATTGGAGAAAAGCATGTGCAGTAGAACAATTTTCTCGGAATCCATACTGATTCTGGAAAAGAATATCATATTTATTCAAGAAAAGAATAAGGCGATTATAGACGATTCTTTTATAGGAACTCAGAAAATACCGGTAAAACTGATACAGGTCTGTAATTTGTGAACAAAGAGTTACCACCAGATTTAAACAACGGAATAACTCGTGCAATTTTCATTTCTTGGCCCAAGAGAGACACAATATAACATTGGAACATTCACGACAAATGTCTATGAAAGAGAACGTGCTGGCAATACCACGGTACGCGCCGTATATTTCACACAAACTTAGTTGTTCATACGGTAGCTAAACAAGTGAAACCTCACGCGATCTCGTGCGGCCTTCCACTTGAAAGTTTCGATTCAGGGCTGTATAATATTGAGAAGAATACGAACAAATATAAGCCTCTAGGGGCTAATATTGAAACCGCGTGTTAAATAAGATCCTTTCACGTATGGAAAGAACGAGATAAATCGAAAGCGTGATTTTGGGATTTTTTTTACATCATCACTTCGAAGTAGTTTCAGTGTGCAAAGGAAATAGTGTCCGAAAGCCTGGGATTGGTGGATTTTGGTATCGGGCTAGTGAATTCTGTTTTTAACTTGTCCGACGGGCAACTGAATTTTTTTTAAAGGAATTCAATTTACATTAAGAAATGTGTAATCAATACTGCTTAATTTTCCGAGTCAAGTCAAAGGTTGGATTGTTCACTTCTTGATGGACCGGAAACAAAGAGTTAAACTTGCTCAGGATTGTCACTCTGAATGGCGCTCTGTGCCCTCCGGTATCCCCCAGGGAACAAAACTAGGCCCCTGGTTATTTCTTGTCATGATTAATGACTTGGACACACCAGTTGACATGCGGAAATACGTGGATGATACATCTTGTTCCGAAATAGTTACAAAGGGTAGTGAGAGCAAACTCCAAGAAGCTCTGGATGACCTTTCGAGACAAGCGAGTCTCGATGGGTTTCAACTGAATGAGGCCAAGTGCAAAGAAATTCGAATTGGATTCTCCAACAGCAACCACGATTTTCAACCCCTAGTCCTGAATGGCAAACCCCTTGAATTAGTCACCAGTGCCAAATTGCTAGGCGTGACCATTAGCCACGATTTAAAGTGGAACATGCACTCCTCTGAACTAATTAGGAAATGTTCCTCTCGTCTCTATTTTTTACGTCAACTCAAGAGATCCGGAGTGGCACCAAGTGAACTGGTGCAATTCTATGTGACATGTATTAGGCCCGTCCTGGAATACGCAAGTCCTGTATTCCATCGTTCTCTACCAAACTACATCAGTGAAGATTTGGAACGGATCCGAAGAAGGGCTTTCAGAATCATCTATCCTGACCTGTCATATAGTATAGCACTAGAAACAGTTGGCCTACCGAAACTTTATGAGAGGAGAGAAAAGATTTCAATCGATCTGTTTGACGAGATCGTCTGTAACCCCACCCACAGTCTCCATAGCCTCCTCCCCCAAAAGGAAGAGTTGTAAATATGCACTGAGACGCAAAAGTGATTTCACTCTCCCCCTATGTAAAACCGAGCGTTTGAAGAAAAGTTTTATTTTTACCCATGTCTATAAGATGTAGATAATTTTCTTATTTTCTCTTTGTTATCATCAGTATTTGTAAATATCCCGTAATTCAGCCTATGGCTGCAATGGTGTTTATAATAAAGTATCTATCTATCTATCTGCTTATCAAAAGGTTTTAAGGGCTTGTTGAACTGAAAATTGGGCTTGTACATCTTAGCTACAGGTAATGCCCGATACTGCCCGAATGGCAAGCTGTAAAACCGACTCTCTTTGCACCCTGAGTTTTACCGGAGACTGATATGTTTATAAGACCTAATGAAGTGGAACTTCTTCTACAAAGCGTTCTGTGGGCTCTTCGATTCGATAAGCAGTAAGTACATGCCGTACAGCGGCTGTTGTTTTGTTACCGTCCATTCAGATAGACTGCGAAACCAGATGCTAAGTGACATCCCTAGAAACGTCTAGATCTGCATTTGCAGGTTTATATAACTTCCTCTTTCACTCCCCGCCACTCCCCTTCCCCCTCACCCCCATACCCCAGGGAGAGCTTGCTAGCAGGCTACCGCGCTGCTCGAAGGTTTGATGCGAATGATTGCAACGCCACTCAATTTGTTTTATTTGCAGGAGAATGAAAAATCATTTCTATATCGAAGGCTAAGCACTTAACGTCTTTTTGATACAGAGGCCCGGGGGAACTCGGAAATGGCTTATTCGAGGATGGCTTCAGATACTGAACATCGAGCTAAACCAGATGAGTCATCGATATGACAGCGGAGTCTTGAAAGAAAAAAAGCTTATTTACTAGGAAATTAAGAAGAAGGAAAGCCAGTTTAGCAGCAAAACAAGTCAGAGAATGGACCCGCGATTATGTTTTGTATCGATGTATAGTGATTAGGGTTAAGGACTAAAATATAGAATGGTTAGCTTTTATTTACTCTTTTGGAATCTCCATAGAAATACTATAAACTTACGGCTGTTGGTACCGATTGCTCTTTTAATGTAATGGCTAAGTAAGATATAAATACAGGAAAACGGGTTCAAGGCTCCCTCTCGATCTCTCTCTTTTACTTTGGTGGTCTTTCTTCGTTTTTCTTTAAAACTTAGAAATATATATTAAATGGTTTAGGTCGATGTTATCTGTAGTTCCTTACTCAAGTCGATAATTCGCCACATGATACCTTGAGGGATGTGTCCAAACTCCCCTCCTCCTTTGTGTTTCCATAGAGTGAATGTGATTCAAAATACATTTGACTGTCCAATCAAATGGTTCAGTATTAAATTAAATGTACAGTCTGAATGGCCTTTGTCTGATATATTCATCTATCTCATTTTTTTGTTTAAAGCAGTGCAAACAATCTCACGGACATTATAGTGAAAAAAATCTGTTGAAGGAACTCTTGGTGAGGAACGTGATTCGTGGAAACTGAGTCGGGTAAGCGTACGGGACACTTCTGCGCATGATTTTAGAAGACATTACTGACAAGATACACTGATATAGCTCCATAGGTTTAATCAAATGCACATATAATTGCAGCTTTGGCGGCAACAAACGGCTTTTGCTTGATTTGAGGGAAATTAGTCGGATCATTTACAACTTGCTGAGAGGCAGTTGTGGAAAAATAAGTATAACCTTTTCTGAAGCTTTGAATTCGTCGGTGTTGAAATCACTGTTCTCTACTGAATCAAACAACTACATGGCTGAGTTAAAGCCGCGTCCAACTGTAAAGGCGGAAAACATAGCATACCGTCAGTGGAGCGGTTTGTTGTGGTCTACTGGGTTTTATGTTTATTGTCACCATTATCAGTTTTTTTCAACGGTTTCACCGCTATTTTTTTACCATGCAACTTTTTTAGCTGTCGTTTTGTTTTGATTTAAGTCACTTAACATTTTGGAGGTTTTATTCATAGTTTTATGAAATAACGTAGGTTATCGGTGTTTGTTCTGTTATTTGAGGCCCCCGAGGGAGCATTGTTAACCGTCATACCGTGACCACGCATATAGCAAAAGAACCACCAGAACAAAAGATACTTTCTTATATGACTTGAGGAGGGAAATGGAAGCAATATCTTAAGTATTTTTTCAGGTGATTATGAATTTTTTGTGTAGATTTAAAAAACTGCAAAATTTAATAGCCTCTCAGTATATAAACACTTAGTATTACGCATTTTCAGGAAAATCGAAGTTTCTGAAAACTTTGTTACGACTAGAACGTTATATAGCTTCATCAGACAACGATCAAACTTGAGTTCTACAGTTCCTGCACCGTGCGGGTAACCTACGTCTAGGAAGTAGTAGCGAACACGTGGTTGCATAGCATTGTGTGGAGTTGTCTCGATAGTTAAAACGTTTCTGATCACCTCTAAGCGTATGTTTTTCGGTTTCTTTCAGCAGGCATTTCAAATTACCACAACTGCTTAAGGGATTCAAAAACCGAAAGACAACCTTAATAGAATCCCAGAGAGTGCCAATCTTTTACTTACT